ATGCAAGTGTCCTTTTGTCGGGAACAATGACACACCAAGTCACCAAGCCTGACCACCCAATCCCTTTTGTCGCCTCTTATGACTAGCATAGGTTGCTGGAGACGAATTCTTACCCAGATTCCCCACAGAGATCAGGGTGAACACGTACAGCTATTACTTCAGGCTTTTTCTTATCAAAGCAGGTCCTTCTTGTTATCAAACCCTTCATGTAAGTTTGGCAGCTGAAAACAAGCTCTGCTGTTCTAATGACTCTCCACCACCTCTCTGAGTGACTGGGTAACACGACCAGCACCCTAACTGACGTACCTCCATCATCAATGCTTAGGCCAAATAAAACCATACCTGTGCTTCAGCCACGCCAACTGACCCATTATGTTTTTCACCCATAAGTTTTTATAACAGATGGAAACAGACATAGAAAAGCTAATACTTTACATTCGGAAAAAAACTAGTTCTTTTCTCACATTACTGATGCTGCAGTTTTATTCACATGGCCACCAACATCACTTCTAAATAAGTCATCTGTCAAATCATCATTTAAAAAATAAATAAACAAACCATCTCCAAAATGACCCTATACCCGAAATGCAAGATATTTCGGGGGCCTTAGCCCCAAAATGGACATCAATGTCAAGTAAATCGCGAATTGAATAATACTTGTATTGCATTTTGAGTAAGAAAATCCTTTCAAACATTATTACATTGAAAAGGTCAATGCAGTTATTAATGTAGCTCTAAAATTGGCAATACTTGCCAGCCTCAGTTGTCCCAAAGGGACTTGGCTTTGTTAAGGGCTTTGTATGGATTATTTCTCTTTTGGGTCTGAACCAAAATGGTCTTATTATTATTGTTTCTCAAAATTAGCTTAGGTCAGTTATTGATAATTCTTTTATGTCCCATTTGATTGTATTCTTGTGAGAATTTTGTGGAAAAAATAGTTTTTAAAGTATATTGATTGAATAAAGATGCCGATCAACTCCCGAAAATAACACCCCCCCCCCCCCCCCCCCCCACTGACATCAGAACCAGTCTGTGCTTAAGTGTCCCACTCCTTCCTCGTCTCATTTTTCAGTTTATTTTAGCACTAATATAAGGATTTTTATCAGGTGAAATTGCCACACCAACAGAAATATTAAGACTTGTGTTATATACATGATATACTGATAAATAACATTCTCATATTATGTACTGTGTATAGGTATGTTTTGATTTTGTTATGAGTAAATTAAAAAGATTTTTAATATATTCTTAATTACCATTTAACATGATTCTAAAATCCCTAATAATTAAGTCCATTAAGAGTCTCACTAAGCTTTCTGTAAATAAAAAAGTACCTTTTTTAGTACAAAGTAATCTGATTATGCCTTTAGTATGTTGTTAGCTTAATTGACAATATGCAAAATAACAGAAACATTTTAGTATATAAACATTAACAAGATCTTTGTCATACAATAAACATGCTAAGTGCATATTTCCTTTTAACACAAAACTATCAGATTCGGAATGTACTGTGCTAACAAGCCACAACAACCAACAATAGAATCTCATGTGATGCTTTTGTCATATCAAATGGATCTGAATTCTTTCCACAGAATGTTTTTGAATACTTTTTAGACTCTCTAAAATGGGATATGTGGATCACAATACTTGTAGCTATCAGATTCTAAAGAAACTGCTTCACACCTGTTTACAGTTGTAGCAAGGTAACATTTCTTTGGCAAGAACTTCAAAGTTGGTTTCAAAATAGAATTGAATTAAAACTTAAATTTTCCAGGCAATAAGTTCTTCTTGATCTTTGTCACAGAAATAATGATGCCCAAAATGTCATTCTTATTCTTATCAATATATCATATTCAAGCATGAATCCAGTCAGCTCATACCAAATTTTCGGCTCCGGAACTCTGCAATACTATGTCCTCTCAAAATGACAAATTTATAAATTCTGGTCATTGTGTCACAACGTATTTACTATCTAATGTCAAGTTTAAACTTAAACATGTAAAATGTAACCATGTGCTACAAAAATGCAATAAAAATAAAAATTATAAAAATGTTTTCTAGAATACACTCACATACCTCAAGGAAAGGGAAACAGGTTCTTTGTACCATCATGAAATGCAGAGGATTCAATGACTTGAAAATCCTTAACCATATTTAAGTCTATTACCAGGATTACTTTTCTAATGGCTATTTTCCTTAATTCAGGGAACCACGAGCCAAAATATTCACAAAAGTGTACAAAATATATAAAAAAAAATTCACATCAAGTCTGTTAACTGATTTTAGTAATACAAAAACTTCAAAGTAATTAATTATAGGATGCAAAGTAACCATTTGAATTGGCACAATAGGAAGCACAGACATTTTTATTTTTTTTATTTTACCCAATTCAAAATTCATTTATCCTTATGATTTTATATCCAGATACCCAGAATACTACTAATTTTTGGTCAGGGTGACAATGAACAATGATGGTCCTGGTTTAAAAATTGTAACAAGGAAACCCATAGTAATCAGAAAATATTGTCATATGGTTTTTGGGGGGCTAATGACCCAGAAACAATGCAACAGCTGGGACCCTTTCAACTCCCACACTTTAACAAAGAGGGGCAGTCGGGTAGCCTAGTGGTTAAAGCGTTTGCTCATCACACTGAAGACCTGGGTTCGATTCCCGATATGGGTACAATGTGTGAAGCCCATTTGTGGTGTCCCCCGCTGTGATATTGCTGGAATATTGCTAAAAGCGATGAAAACCATACTCATTCACTCACTATTTAACAAAGACTTACTACAATTGCAGTGCCCAGATCACTTTAGTTACACAAGGCTAATCTTATTTTGTTTCTCCAGAATTTTGTGAACTGAGCTACATTGGTGATCTATATCAGTGGACCTTAAGTCCACATCCACACTCAAACATTCTTTATTACAAAAAAATGAGAATAGGAAGCTTCATTGTAAACTCTTTAACCACTATGCTGCACGACTGCCCCAATTCAAAATGATAACAAACCTACAACTTGACATTGAAAATTATATCTAGTTCTCAGAATTGGAGGTCATGTCTTCAGATAGCGCAGCCTTACTCCAACTAGACCCAAATTGACAAGTTGTCAAGAATGTAGACTTTCAAAAGGCAGTTGTCGATAATGTAGTACTAGAACAGGCCAATATTGGAGCTGTTGTTAAGAACACAGTATAATACCAGGCCAATATTGGAACAATTGTGACGACTATAGTATTAGAATAGGCCAATATTGGAGCAGTTGTCAAGAATATAGTATAAAACCAGGTTTACAATGGAGCAGTTGTCAAGATTAGTCTTAGACCAAGACAATATTGGAGCATTTCATAAGAATATAGTATTAGACCAGGCCAATACTGGATCAGTTGTCAAGAATATATCATACCACACCCACAATGGAGCAGTTGTCAACAATAGAGTATCAGGCCATGAAAATGATTGAGTGATTGTCAAGAATAGTGTATTCGTTATCATGTGTTACTTTATCTTGGTCTGACTTAGATTTTAATAAACTGTCATACCAAATTGTAAATCATATAAAATTGTGATAAGTATTCCTCTTCATTTCATTTCAAATGTTCCACAAAATAAAGAAACTAAAAATTTCAAAAATAAATATCGAACATAATAAGTGTATAATAAATACTTCATTCAATATTTAACATTATATATTAAAAAGAAAATATTTTTCAAAAATTAAATCGAAATAACAGAAAAGGTCTTATCATTGTAAACCTGAAGAATCAGGATTGGTACAGGTAAACCTCATATGAAGGGAATCAAACCAGGTACTTGATTAACAGACACCTGTGCATTCTAGGGGTATTCCATAGGGTCACCATAGTCACCCATCAACACAATTATTGACAGAAGCATTTGAAGTGCTGCCTTATTCCACTTGGTTATAACCTGCCACCATGTCAACTCTGCCACCTTCCCTTGCAGCGTGGGCGAAGGCCAGTCATATAAACCATGTAAACATGAGCATGGGGCAATAAAATCACTCTCTTGTGCTTCAACCATCCTCATCTCATTACAGAACTCAAGAGGTTCCTAAAGAGAAATATAGCAGCTGTCAGTGTCTTCTATTTCTTGTAGCCTTTACCAAGAAGCCTCGTGAGAACATTATGACCATACCACTGTGGTCAACATGGTCAAGTGTCAGTTCTATTTTAATCACCCAGTACATAAAAAGAAATGTGTAACATTGTCTTATGCACGATTTTTTCAGTATACTCTAATATGTTAACAAATGGCCACATCTTCTTTTTTTAATCAGGTCTCATTTGGTTTGTAATTTGTGATGACACCTTTTACATGTGTGCACAAAGAAGCTATAGTGAAATTTGATTTGAGGGTAGGGTTGTCCCAGCCATCTAAGGTATTTGCTGTGGAGTTGTGTCCCTTAATAAGCCAGGTTCTTTTTACCATGGGGCTTAAAAAACCCAAACACCCCCACCCATTTCTGGGTCCTTCTATACAAAGTACCTGCTTTTCTACACACATTATAAAGAGTTTCATTGTGGATTGAGTCATTCATGGATAGTAGTCAGAACTGAATTTATGAAAACATGTATTTCAAAATAAAAGACATTTTCTAACTCAAATATTTAACTATAAACAATATGGGAACATATGCAAACCATATAATGCCACTACAAAATACCACATATAACTGTCACAAACTGCTGAATAAGCAAAATCATATGAAAACAATAAACATTTCTGACACATCTCCTTGCACTATATTTTCTGGACAAAACAAATGATTCCATTCTTTGAAACAAAGAATAACATTGGTACCAAAAATATAATGGTAAAAAAATGTCCTTAAAGAGAGGTATAAGTGAAACTCAAAACGAATGTCTTTGGTTCCTGCAACAGGTGCCTAAAAACGGTCTTTCTACAAGTGATACTGAAATGAGGAAGCGGTGATTATAAGAAACGGACTATAACGGTCTATGAGATTACTAACCTTCTTATACACCAAGTAGTTCGGGTTATCCTCGGCACTGTGTTGTCCGTTTCCAAACATTGCACCTGGTAAAGTGTTCGGCAGGGATTCCGACCGCTTCGTGCTGTTTCGGTGGGCCATCATTACAATCACGAGTTAATTTCTTTAACAGCCTTTGAAATCTGTGTCTGAAGGCGTAACCCTCCCTTAACAGAAAACCGGCGACAACAAGGCGAGCGAACCCTCCTCTCGAACAACAACCAAGACATGTGCCAATCGACCAATTCACAGTCCCAATCAATATACAATCCCATGCATGGATCTAGCCATGCGTTCTACCGGCATGTGTTTTCACCCATACCCCATTCCATCCGTTAAAATTTGATTCCTCAGAAACACACTCTGTCCATGTAGATCTGCCCGCTGTTTAAAGACTTTGAGGAGGGCGAAAATCCTAGAAAATCAATGCTTGCTTTTCGAATATTACATCCCGTGCACTGGTACCATGGAACGAACGGTTCTCCTGTCCCTATCGCTGAAACCGTGCCTGCTTTCGCTCGACAGATTCGCTTTGAACATCAAATAGAGTTAATTAGATATTTAGCAACGCCATTCCACCTCTAATTCCTTCAAACTGTTCGGCATGGTGCGTAATAAAAATCTAGACACTTTTGGGCGCAAAGATTTTTGACGCCTGGCAAGGAATCTTGCACCAGTGTTCTTATACCATCACATATTCTTGACAGCGGTCTCTGCGCCCTCGGGAAATGGCCCAGCACAATGTCCACACTTGAAACACAAAGACTACCCAGTTGGCTTCACCCACTTCAATCCGAGCGCATCTTCAACCCCGGTACCGACATCTTAGTAAAATATCCTGACCATGAGCCTTGAGATGGATCTCCCCTCTCTCTCTCTCTCTCTCTGCTCCTAGCCACGGCGGCTTGAACATTCACGGTCGTGTTTCCAACACAAGCCCTGGATAAATTACCACGACATTACGCTGTACCTCTTTTGAGGAATGCTTCGAATTTCTTGCTATCAATCAATTTGCGAGAAGAGCATGTTCAGATATGAACTAATACCGAAGAAACACTAGCAGTGCTGATCTGACATATGACAAATAGTCAGTACCGACCTCCATATTGAATACAATTAGCGCCAATCGATTATTCAACAGCTGATTGGTTCCCCAGGCTAGAATCGCCGCCTATAGTCAGAAAACTGAACTAAACTCGTAAACAAATGGGAAGCAACTGAAATATTATCGATCCTAACAGCCGCGCCTAAGTTAACAACAGTGATCTCCCATAATGCAAGCGGCACATGTTTCCCACGTGCTAAGTGCTCGACTCTGGTCTATATTTAAATAACACAATTAATTAGCCTCCCGGTGCTAATAGAGGCTGGCGAGGAATGAGAACCGCGAGGGGTTCCATGTTTCAGAGAGAGGTACCACGGGAGGTGATCGCGGTGTAGGTTGCTGCGATGGGTCACGCGGTTTATTACCCTGTAGGGAGGGGCTTGAATGCCAGCAATAGATCACGGGGTTTACCGTTATGCCATGATCATTGAATAAAAAATTCTTTGGATTTCTATTTTATTATATCAAGGTAATATTACAGGATATGAACACCGCTCTATTTCACCCTTTCATACAATTCCGTCTGACTGGGGAGTGGCTTCATGTGAGAATCCTCCGAGTAAAACATGCGGCATGTTATGAGTGAGTTAGTTTTGTTTTAACGCCACGTTGAACAGTATTTCAGTTATATCGCAGCGTGTCAACGGGTCTTAGTGAGTGAGTGAGTGAGTGAGTTGAGTTTAACTCAGTATTCCAGTTACATCGCGGCGTGACAGCTTAATGTGGGAGGAAAGCCCGAAGTGATGCAGGTCTCGGACGTTTACCACTTCGGTGAAACCCACGAGTACGGATATGGTGCTGACAAACCTAGAAACATAACGTTTGATTTAAACATATTTTATTCAGATTGAAGTGGATTGGGAACAAGTTATCCAACTTAGGACTCCCTCTCCATGGTATTTACAAAGCTTGTACAGTAAATCATATACAAGGAAAACAGAAAAGAAGATGAGTGTAAAGATAACAAGAAATGTACAAAAGAGAGAGACTAGTATATGTACATTAAAGTGTTACCCAAATCTCTTTGTATGACTTATAAACATTTGCACTGCTATAAAGATGTGTTGATTTTCGATAATGGACAAACATTCATTTCCGTTTAACATCAAATTTAAATCTAATTTAGCATTTTTGTTCACGGCGTTCTGTAAAATGTCCCGAATTATTATTAACATAGTTTTTCTTTGGTGGACGTACAATGGACACTTTAATCAATAATGATATGCGTTTTCACATGGATCACCACATTGACATATTGGATAACATTTTATCTCTATTCTGTATAAATCATAATTTAACTGGCTTTTCATGTAATCGAAGTATCGAGTATGATAAATATTCAACTTTCTAACACCATAGGAAAAATATGGAGGTGCAATGACTTGCTCTTTTTGTATGTATGTCTTGAATTCGGATGTAGATGTACAATTTCTACCTGCTGCAGGAATAGTGTTCCATAACCTTACAGTTGATGGAATAAAAGAACACGTTGAGTGTTTTAATCTAGTATATGGAATCTCAATATTGTCTGAATTTCTTAAATTATATGATATATTTGAGTGAGTGAGTATGATTTTACGCCGCTTTTAGCAATATTCGAGCAATATCACGGCGGGGGACACCAGAAATGGGCTTCACACATTGTACCCATGTCGGGAATCGAACCCGGGTCTTCGGCGTGACGAGCGAACGCTTTAACCACTAGGCTACCCGACCGCCCCGATATATTTGAACCTACAGTGGTTGGTACAATGTCTTTAAGGTAAGTTGGGGCAATATTACTTTGTATTTTGTAGAACAAACATAGCTTGCGTTTCCTTCTTCGTTCTATTAACGTTTCCCACCTTGTTTCATAATACAGATGTGTGTGCGAAGTATACTTTGGGAGCCCAGTAACTACTCTGGCAGCTTCTAATTGGAGATTTTCTAACTGAGTTGATAATTCTATATTACGCCCATCCCACACTTCACACGCATATTCGAAATGTCGAAATTCGACATAACGTTTACCACGAGCACAGGCACTGTGCTGATCAGGACGAAAGATGAATGAGTTTTCTTCTTTTACCGTCGTGGATCCTAAGGTGGCCACGTCGAGAACCTGTGGTTAATTCCCGACAAAGTATATAAATCCTGAAGCCCAGTTCTAGTGTCCCCGACTTGGAAGTTCAGGACAGTGATGTAAACCCAAACTCATTCACTCATTTTTACTCCATTTTCATACGTTTTCTTGTGTAAATGTATCAGTCTTCCAAATACAAGCTGTGGTGTATTTTTACAGAGCGTTAATTGATTTCTTCTTTGTAAATCACATTCTATCTGTCTGTGCCACTGAATAGTATTTCTATTGATGAGTATTGGTGTTGTCAAGCGAAACCATCCTTCAATCTGTGTTCAGTGATCCATGAAGTGCTGCGATTCGCTAAAAGGAGCTACGCCATCAATATCACCCGTGCTAGGATCCGTTGGGCGTGAGTTTGAATCCTGATTAGGATCCCTTGTAGTGCCAGGCTATTTCATTACACATCATCAATAATAAAGCCAACAAATGCAGTAAGAAAATAAAAGTGAATGCTGCAAAACATGAAATCAATGCGTAAACAAATAAATGCCAATACCGACACTTGGCCTAAAATGCGACATAATATTAATGCGAGTAGCGTTGCCTTTGAACTATAGAATAACTAATGTTCCAGGTTACTAAATACTATTCAAAGCGGCGTTAAACTCACTCTGTTAATGGTGTGCTGCAAGGAGCCGAACTCCCACCACGTTATTTCATTATACATCATCAATCATGAAGCCAACTGTAGCAGATATGAAGCCAGTTGTAGCAGACGCAATTAAGGCGATATGTAAATATACAAATAACATTGTTGGTTTATCAAAGGTCAAAATCAGTTATGGGCCTTAAGACATTTTTGTTGATTGAATTCATAGCGGGTATTCTTTTCCTCCTACATGTATCTACTTTAGGGATTATACCAAATCTGTGGAGGATTTTACGGCGACTATGTGTAATGTATTTGTAATTTTTTTATAACAAAATTTCCGACACCCCCACCCAAAGTGAAATCGTTCAGATAAACAAGTAATTAATTAAGCAATCATATATATTTATATGAATTTATGAGGTTGAAAGTAGTTTTAAAACTCTTGTTTTTACACATCATAATGTGTTGTAAATATCACCCACACACTAGTTTTTTTCCTTATGATAAACTCTTTCAATGTATATATTTTTTATGCATATATTTTCCGTTATAAACGTTCTTACCAGAAGTAATAAGCAATGACTATTTTGGTCGTCTCTTCAAGCGGCCCTTAGCTGTGTCCTGATTTGCTGGTATGGGTTCGAATACCAGATTTTCCCTTATTATGGTCCATGGTTCTGACAGAAGGAATCATTGTTTCTGTTATTGTCATCTTCCAGAGGCAAAGGAGTTGAAACTGGACTTTTCTAGTCAGTTAACTCCCTTGCCTCGGGAAGATGGTAATTGTGAATTGACGTATTTGTGATGTACTTAAGCGGATACAATTATAGAATGTCTTGTCTGTTACCTTAAAGTAGTCGTTTATATATTTGTCAGTGCCGGTGTCTCGACGTGTTGATTCCATCCTAGTTATTCGCCGGTTAATATGTGATATAAAAACTACATTGCATGTCAACAAGACGGCCCTTCATTGTACACCGCTACCGTCTACATCTGCACAACATGAGTGTACGCACATTTGAATCTTCTCACTTCCAGGGGTATCACTCATCTCACTTCTAGGGGAACAACTTATCTCACTTCTAGGGGTATCACTCATCTCACTTCTAGGGTATCACTTATCTCACTTCTAGGGGATGTCACTCATCTCACTTCTAGGGGTATCACTCACCTCAATACTAGGGGTATCACCCATCTCAATACTAGGGGGTATCACTCATCTCACTTCTAGGGTACAACTTATCTCACTTCTAGGGGTATCACCCATCTCACTTCTAGGGGGTATCACTTATCTCACTTCTAGGGGTATCACTCATCTCACTTCTAGGGGTATCACTCATCTCACTTCTAGGGTATCACTTATCTCACTTCTAGGGGATGTCACTCATCTCACTTCTAGGGGTATCACTCACCTCAATACTAGGGGTATCACCCATCTCAATACTAGGGGGTATCACTCATCTCACTTCTAGGGTACAACTTATCTCACTTCTAGGGGTATCACCCATCTCACTTCTAGGGGGTATCACTTATCTCACTTCTAGGGGTATCACTCATCTCACTTCTAGGGGTATCACTCATCTCACTTTTAGGGGTATCACTCATCTCACTTCTAGGGTATCACTTATCTCACTTCTAGGGGTATCACTCATCTCTCTTCATTCACTTATCTCACTTCTAGGGGATGTCACCCATCTCAATTCTAGGGGGTATCACTTATCTCACTTCTACAGGTATCACTTATCTCACTTCTAGGGGTATCACTCATCTCACTTCTAGGGGTATCACTCATCTCACTTCTAGGGTATCACTCATCTCACTTCAAGGGGTGTCACTCATCTCACTTCAAGGGGTGTCACCCATCTCACTTCTAGGGGTATCACTCATCTCACTTCTATCACGCATCTCCCTTTTAGGGGGTATCACTCATCTCACTTCGAGGGGTATCACTCATCTCACTTCTACAGGTATCACTCATCTCACTTCAAGGGGTGTCACTCATCTCACTTCTAGGGGTATCACCCATCTCACTTCCAGGGGTATCACGCATCTCTCTTCTAGGGTATCCCTTATCTCACTTCTAGGGGTATCACTCATCTCACTTCAAGGGGTGTCACTCATCTCACTTCTAGGGGTATCACTCATCTCACTTCTAGGGTATCACTTATCTCACTTCTAGGGGTATCACTCATCTCACTTCATTCACTTATCTCACTTCTAGGGGATGTCACTCATCTCACTTCTAGGGGTATCACTTATCTCACTTCTACAGGTATCACTCATCTCACTTCTAGGGTATCAATCAAATCACTTCTAGGGGTATCAACCATCTCACTTCTAGGGGTATCACTCATCTCACTTCTAGGGTATCACTCATATCACTTCTAGGGGTATCACTCATCCCCACTTCAAAGGGGTGTCACTCATCTCACTTCAAGGGGTGTCACTCATCTCACTTCAACGGGTATCACCCATCTCACTTCTAGGGGTATCACTCATCTCACTTCTAGGGGTATCACGCATCTCACTTCTAGGGGGTATCACCCATCTCACTTCTAGGGGTATCACTCATCTCACTTCTATCACGCAGCTCCCTTTTAGGGGGTATCACTCATCTCACTTCTAGGGGTATCACTCATCTCCCTTCAAGGGGTGTCACTCATCTCACTTCTAGGGGTATCACCCATCTCACTTCCAGGGGTATCACGCATCTCTCTTCTAGGGTATCCCTTATCTCACTTCTAGGGGTATCACTCATCTCACTCCTAGAGGTATCACCAATCTCACTTCAAGGGGTATCACACATCTCACTTCTAGGGGTATCACCCATCTCACTTCAAGGGGTGTCACTCATCTCACTTCAAGGGGTGTCACTCATCTCACTTCAAGAGGTGTCACTTATCTCACTTCAAGGGGTGTCACCCATCTCACTTCTATCACGCATCTCACTTCTAGGGGGTATCACTCATCTTACTTCAAGGGGTGTCACTCATCTCACTTCAAGGGGTGTCACCCATCTCACTTCTAGGGGTATCACTCATCTCCCTTCTATCACGCATCTCACTTCTAGGGGGTATCACGCATCTCACTTCTAGGGGTATCACTCATCTCACTTCTATCACGCATCTCACTTTAAGGGGGTATCACTCATCTCACTTCTACAGGTATCACTAATCTTACTTCAAGGGGTGTCACTCATCTCACTTCTAGGGGTATCACCCATCTCACTTCAAGGGGTATCACTCATCTCTCTAGTAGGGTATCACTTATCTCACTTCTAGGGGTATCACACATCTCACTTCTAGGGTATCACTCATCTTACTTCAAGGGCTGTCACTCATCTCACTTCAAGGGGTGTCACTCATCTCACTACTAGGGGTATCACTCATCTCTCTTCAAGGGTATCACTCATCTCACTTCTAGGGGTATCACTCATCCCACTTCTAGGAGTATCACTCATCTCTCTTCTAGGGTATCACTTATTTCACTTCTAGGGGTATCGCTCATCTCTCTTCTAGGGTATCACTCATCTCACTTCAAGGGGTATCACTCATCTTACTTCAAGGGCTGTCACTCATCTCACTTCAAGGGGTGTTACTCATCTCACTTCAAGGGGTATCACTCATCTCACTTCAAGGGGTATCACATATCTCACTTTTATCACGCATCTCACTTCTAGGGGGTATCACGCATCTCACTTCTAGGGGTATCACTCATCTCACTTCTATCACGCATCTCACTTTTAGGGGGTATCACTCATCTCACTTCTACAGGTATCTCTCATCTTACTTCAAGGGCTGTCACTCATCTCACTTCTAGGGGTGTCACTCATCTTACATCAAGGGGTATCACTTATCTCACTTCTATCACGCATCTCACTTCTAGGGGGTATCACTCATCTCACTTCTAGGGGGTATCACTCATCTCACTTCAAGGGGTATCACTCATCTCTCTTCTATCACGCATCTCACTTCTAGGGGGTATCACCCATCTCACTTCTAGGGGTATCACCCATCTCACTTCAAGGGGTATCACTCATCTCACTTCAAGGGGTATCACTTATCTCACTTCTATCACGCATCTCACTTCTAGGGGGTATCACTCATCTCACTTCTAGGGGTATCACTCATCTCACTTCTAGGGGGTATCACTCATCTCACTTCTAGGGGTAACACTTATCTCACTTCTATCACGCATCTCACTACTAGGGGGTATCACTCATCTCACTTCTAGGGGTATCACTCATCTCACTTCTATCACTCATCTCACTTCTAGGGTATCACTCGTCTCACTTCTAGGGGTATCACTCATCTCAATTCTAGGGGTATTACCCTTCTCACTTCAAGGGGTAGCACTCATCTCACTTTAAGGGGTATCACCCATCTCACTTCAAGGGGTATCACTCATCTCACTTCTATCACGCATCTCACTTCTAGGGGGTATCACTCATCTTACTTCAAGGGGTGTCACTCATCTCACTTCAAGGGGTGTCACCCATCTCACTTCTAGGGGTATCACTCATCTCACTTCTATCACGCATCTCACTTCTAGGGGGTATCACCCATCTCACTTCTAGGGGTATCACTCATCTCACTTCTATCACGCATCTCACGTTAAGGGGGTATCACTCATCTCACTTCTAGGGGTATTACCCTTCTCACTTCAAGGGGTATCACTCATCTCACTTCAAGGGGTATCACTTATCTCACTTCTATCACCCATCTCACTTCTAGGGGGTATCACTCATCTCACTTCTAGGGGTATCACTCATCTCACTTCTAGGGGGTATCACTCATCTCACTTCTAGGGGTAACACTTATCTCACTTCTATCACGCATCTCACTACTAGGGGGTATCACTCATCTCACTTCTAGGGGTATTACCCTTCTCACTTCAAGGGGTATCACTCATCTCACTTCAAGGGGTATCACTTATCTCACTTCTATCACGCATCTCACTACTAGGGGGTATCACTCATCTCACTTCTAGGGGTATCACTCATCTCACTTCTATCACTCATCTCACTTCTAAGGGTATCACTCATCTCACTTCAACGGGTATCAACCATCTCACTTCTAGGGTATCACTCATCTCACTTCTAGGGGTATCACTCATCTCACTTCTAGGGGTAATACCCTTCTCACTTCAAGGGGTAGCACTCATCTCACTTTAAGGGGTATCACCCATCTCACTTCAAGGGGTATCACTCATCTCACTTCTATCACGCATCTCACTTCTAGGGGGTATCACTCATCTTACTTCAAGGGGTGTCACTCATCTCACTTCAAGGGGTGTCACCCATCTCACTTCTAGGGGTATCACTCATCTCACTTCTATCACGCATCTCACTTCTAGGGGGTATCACCCATCTCACTTCTAGGGGTATCACTCATCTCACTTCTATCACGCATCTCACTTTAAGGGGGTATCACTCATCTCACTTCTAGGGGTATTACCCTTCTCACTTCAAGGGGTAGCACTCATTTCACTTCAAGGGGTATCACTCATCTCACTTCAAGGGGTATCAATCATCTCACTTCAAGGGGTATTACCCTTCTCACTTCAAGGGGTAGCACTCATCTCACTTCAAGGGGTATCACTCATCTCAATTCAAGGGGTATCACTCATCTCACTTTTAGGGGTATCACTCATCTCACTTCAAGGGGTATCACTCATCTCATTTCAAGGGGTGTCACTCATCTTACTAGATCTGTCATTGTGCCTGTATTTAAAAAGGGAGACGTGACCAACCCCGATAACTATAGAGCAATTTCTCTAACAAGAATCTTAGGTAAACTGTTTGCTATAATTCTAAACAATCGTCTTACTACCCGGGCTAATGTTTTTGACAAAATCCCACCAACTCAAGCTGGCTTTAGAAAATTATATTCACCTGCTGATAATATTTTCTCACTTTATGCTATTGTTCAGAGATATCTCGGATGCCGAAAACGAAAACTCTATATTGCGTTTGTAGATTTTAAAAAAGCTTTCGACACTGTTGACCGATGTAAACTTTGGGATTGTCTTAGGGCAGCTGGTGTTGGTGGGAAAATGTTTACTATTTTAAAATCAATGTATGCAAATGTAAAATCTTGTGTACGACATAATAGTGGAGTCACCGATTATTTTGACTGCCCCATGGGAGTTAAACAAGGTTGTATCTTGAGTCCTCTCCTATTTTCATTCTTCATTAATGAGCTTTCCTTCGATGTTCAACAAAACGGTAAACACGGAGTGCAATTATACCCTGACCTTTATGAATTACTTATATTACTTTTTGCCGATGACGTGATTCTAGTCTCTGACTCTATTATCGGACTCCAGAAACCAAATTGATATACGATACAGTTACACTGTTACATGGAAGCTATCTGTTAACTTGGAAAAAACTAATATTATCGTATTTAGGAGAGGCGGTCCTCTTGCATCGAGAGATAAATGGTTCTTCAATAACCACCCTATAAATGTTACAAACATGTATAAATACCTCGGTGTTGTTTTACCGTTTAACCTTAATCTTAAACATCTAGTTAACGATCTCGCCCTACGAGCAAAAAAGGCCCTAATAAATCTATTTGTTGTCCTAGATAAATTGCGTGTTATCTCACCTACTATTTTCTTCAAAATGTTTGATGCTCAAATTCAACCAATCTTATTATATGGATCAGAGGTCTGGGGTTTTGAAACCTATTACAATATTGAAAAGGTACACTTAACTGCATGTAAAAGATTTCTAAATGTTTCTAAATCAGCTCCAAATCATATGGTCTATGGCGAATGTGGTAGATACCCGTTATATATTTGTTCATATTTACGTTTACTCAGATACTGGCTCAAAATAACAGAGATGTCGCGAGAACGAATCCCAAGAAAATGCTACGAAATGCTTGTCTATCGTGATAGTGTTGGTTACGTAACCTGGGCATCAAACATTAAGCATTTACTCTTCTCTCACGGATTTGGATATGTTTGGCTAAATCAAAGCGTTGGAGACAAAATGTATTTTCTTAGCTCTTTTAAGCAGGTAGCAATTGATATGTTTACTCAAAACTGGAGGTCGTCACTAGATAACAGTACACGCTACGACGTCTATAATACCTTTAAATATTGTCTAACACCAGAGGTTTACCTGCATACTATAACAGAGAGAAAAATTAGAGACACATTTATCAAACTTAGGCTAGGGTTAAATGATTTGATGTGCAACAGGGGTCGCTTCTCCTCTATTCCTAAGGATATGCGTTTTTGTCCATTCTGCGAAAACCATATTGAAAACGAATTACACTTTTTGTTTATATGTCCAATTTACGACAACCTAAGATTGAAATATATGCCTGATATCACTAAGAACCACTATTCCATGAACAAAATAGTATCTTTTAATGGTATCCCTAGTCAAAAATTAACTAAGATATTACAATACATCTATCAAAGTCTACGAGTGCGTAGTAAATTACTTAGTGAATCCGATATGTCCAGAAAAAAATAGTTGTTTTGAAACTTTCGCATCTAGATCAGGAGTATCTACATTTCATTTTTGTCTGTTTGTTTCTACTAGAAATGCATATACATTTAAATTGTCAAATTTTCATGACATGATGAGTATATTACTGATAGATTATTTTGTATTGAATGTCGTGCTATGCTATTCCATTCCTTTTGTATTTTATACTACTGCTGCCACTGTGGTTATTACCACTGTTATTACAATACCTCTATTACATGTCAAGCATCATATTAGTTATCCAATAATTATATAATAAGCTGTACAGCTGTAAACGATATTGTTTATCTGTATGTGTATATGGGCCAATGGCCTTTCATACAATAAAGATTGATTGATTGATACTACGAGGGTTATCACTTATCTCACCACTAAGGGTATCACACATCTCACTTCTAGGGATTGCCTCTGTGGTCTAGTGGTAGAGCGTCCGCCCGGAGAGCGGAAGGTCCGGGGTTTGATCCCCGACCGCGTCATACCAAAAAGACGTTAAAAGATGGTACTTGTTGATACCCTGTCTGGCGCTCGGCATTAAGGGGTTAAAACAAGGATTGGTCGGCTCGGAGTCAGCACACTGTGTCTGAGTGGGGTATTCATGTTAAACTGTTGCATGGTAACTCAGTGAGCTAGCACTATAAATCGGCATCAGTCCGGACTAGTACAAGCAGCCACACAAACACACACACGTACATGCACGTCGCTATATAAGACGCAACCCCATTTCACCTCACCTCACCACTTCTAGGGGTATCACTGATCTCACATCTAGGAGTATCACGCATCTCACTTCTATCACTCATCTCACTTCTAGGGGGTGTCACTCATCTCACTACTAGTTTTATCACGCATCTCACACCCAGGGGTATCACGCATCTCACATCCAGGGGTATCACGCAGCTCACATCTAGGGGTATCACGCATCTCACTTCTATCACTCATCTCACTTCTGGGGTATCACGCATCTCTCTTCTAACACTTATCTCACTTCTAGGGGTATCACGCATTTCACTTCTAGAGGTATCACTCATCTCACTTCTAGAGGTATCACTCATCTCACTTCTAGAGGTATCACTTATCTCACTTCTAGAGGTATCACGCATCTCACTTCTAGGGGTATCACGCATCTCACTTCTAGAGGTATCACTCATCTCACTTCCAGGGATATCACAAATCTCACTTCCAGGGGTATCACGCATCTCACTTCTAGGGGTATCACTCATCTCACTTCTAGAGGTATCACTCATCTCACTTCTAGAGGTATCACTCATCTCACTTCTAGAGGTATCACTCATCTCACTTCCAGGGGTATCACGCATCTCTCTTCTAGGGGTATCACTCATCTCACTACTAGGGGTATCACGCATCTCTCTTCTAGGGGTATCACGCATCTCTCTTCTAGGGGTATCACTCATCTCACTTCTAGAGGTATCACTCATCTCACTTCTAGAGGTATCACTCATCTCACTTCTAGAGGTATCACTCATCTCACTTCCAGGGGTATCACGCATCTCTCTTCTAGGGGTATCACTCATCTCACTACTGGGGGTATCACGCATCTCTCTTCTAGGGGTATCACGCATCTCTCTTCTAGGGGTATCACTCATCTCACTCCTTGGGGTATCACGCATCTCTCTTCTAGGGGTATCACTCATCTCACTACTAGGGGTATCACGCATCTCTCTTCTAGGGGTATCACGCATCTCTCTTCTAGGGGTATCACTCATCTCACTACTAGGGGTATCACGCATCTCTCTTCTAGGGGTATCACGCATCTCTCTTCTAGGGGTATCACTCATCTCACTCCTTGGGGTATCACGCATCTCTCTTCTAGGGGTATCACTCATCTCACTACTAGGGGTATCACGCATCTCTCTTCTAGGGGTATCACGCATCTCTCTTCTAGGGGTATCACTCATCTCACTACTAGGGGTATCACGCATCTCTCTTCTAGGGGTATCACGCATCTCTCTTCTAGGGGTATCACTCATCTCACTACTAGGGGTATCACGCATCTCTCTTCTAGGGGTATCACGCATCTCTCTTCTAGGGGTATCACTCATCTCACTCCTTGGGGTATCACGCATCTCTCTTCTAGGGGTATCACTCATCTCACTACTAGGGGTATCACGCATCTCTCTTCTAGGGGTATCACGCATCTCTCTTCTAGGGGTATCACTCATCTCACTACTAGGGGTATCACGCATCTCTCTTCTAGGGGTATCACGCATCTCTCTTCTAGGGGTATCACTCATCTCACTCCTTGGGGTATCACGCATCTCTCTTCTAGGGGTATCACTCATCTCACTACTAGGGGTATCACGCATCTCTCTTCTAGGGGTATCACGCATCTCTCTTCTAGGGGTATCACTCATCTCACTACTAGGGGTATCACGCATCTCTCTTCTAGGGGTATCACGCATCTCTCTTCTAGGGGTATCACTCATCTCACTCCTTGGGGTATCACGCATCTCTCTTCTAGGGGTATCACTCATCTCACTACTAGGGGTATCACGCATCTCTCTTCTAGGGGTATCACGCATCTCTCTTCTAGGGGTATCACTCATCTCACTACTAGGGGTATCACGCATCTCTCTTCTAGGGGTATCACGCATCTCTCTTCTAGGGGTATCACTCATCTCACTCCTTGGGGTATCACGCATCTCTCTTCTAGGGGTATCACTCATCTCACTACTAGGGGTATCACGCATCTCTCTTCTAGGGGTATCACGCATCTCTCTTCTAGGGGTATCACTCATCTCACTACTAGGGGTATCACGCATCTCTCTTCTAGGGGTATCACGCATCTCTCTTCTAGGGGTATCACTCATCTCACTCCTTGGGGTACCACTCATCTCACTTCAAGGGGGAGGGGGGTGTATCATTGATCGCATACCCCCGTCGATACATGTCATCGTATCCCAATGGCGTCGATCAGTGCACTGGATTGTCCGTTCCAAATCCTATTATTTACAGAACGCTGTCCGTTTGCTGGAATATTGCTGAGTGTGGCGTAAAACATCAAGTACGCAGAATGTACAAATGTCCAGCTTCAGTTCTTTATCATTTAAATCAAATCTTGTTTTAAGGGTCAGAGCATCGCTAGTCACAGTGCGTGAATTATTTGTGTATGTCGTTAGTCGTGCTTTCAACAACTGAAGCGCCCAGTCCAGAGTCGATTATTTACAGCCGTGATATAGGTGGAATATTGTTGACCGCAGCGTAGAATATAATTTACTCACCAGAAACATATTTCATTTTCAAAACGTGATTATTGCGATTTAGTACACATTTTATGGGTGCTTCTTTGTCGATGGGACGCGTTGAAAATGTTGATGTATTTCTTATACGATAGGTCCCGATGTTATGTAATCACATCCTTCATTATCCATTTTATTATACCTCCATTCTATTGAAATAAATACCCTAGACCTATAAGCTACCATAGTTTCGTTGTGAGCTCGAACGGGATGAGAGAAATTCTGTTGGATGTAGGGCAGATATCGGGGAGTGAGTGAGTGAGTACGCTTTTACGGCGCTTTTAGCACTATTCCAGCAAGTATCACGACAGGGAACACCAGAAAGGGGCTTCACTCGTTGTACCCATGTGGGGAGTCGGACTCGGGTCTTCGACGTGACAAGTGAACACTTTAACCACTAGGCTATCCCAGCGCCCACGATGATGTGGGAGACATGGATATTGTGACGTCACTATCGACACGACACTGTGCTGAGTTGGATTTAACGCCCCATTGAACATTGGCGTTTTAGTTTTAAGGAAAGGAGAGCACAGACGGTTGCCACCTTTTCTAAACCCGGGAGCATTGGTTTCACCGAAAGGGTGAATCGCAGATTCGAACCTCCCGACCCACGAGGGCTAGCACAGCATGTTCTGCACAGCGAATTGTGTCTCCTTAGACTACACTTAGTCTGTGTGTAACCAACTTTGCCTTAAGTAATTTTCGACCTTCGTGACCAACTCTTATCATTCCGGGGCAAGCCCCATTTTCTCGTGTCCCCCGCCGTGATATTGCTGGAATATTGCTAAAAGCGGCGAAAAACCATACTCACTCACTCCGGGGCAAGCCGAAGTTTACGGAAATATGCGAGTGGTGACGGATGTTTTCCTTGTCTCTTTCGGAACACATTAACACAACGGACTGAACGTCTCTTGACGCATAATGATAAGATGGTGTCTAAAACGTCTTTTATTCTATCTCTTGAACAACAGAAATGTATTTGGTGATGAACTGCGACCTCGTTTAAGTACTGCAAACAAAAGTTAAAAAAGATAAAGTGTAGCAAGGCGCACGTATAATATGTATTTTCAACTGAATTTGACAAAAATGGTGTACATTAGTTATCTGAACATGCTATTTTATGTGTCAAACAGGGAACACGGAAGCACATTTACTTCACAAAAATATTACAAATAATACGATTTTCAGGACTACAATCCTACGATTATACGTCAGTATTCGAGGTGCATGTGCATCGGATAAAATATTGACAAACTGCCGGGTTAAAGAAAGAATACACTTGAAAATTGGGCACTTCAGTAAGGCTGCAATTAGCTGAATTTCAAATCACAAGTACATTTTATGAGTTTGGGCAAGATTTACTTGTTATTTCGCAGTTAAGTAAAACTATTACACAATTTCTAATCGGAGATCCGTTCATTGCATGAGTTTGTGAGTTACAATTTCAGTATTTCAGCCAGTAATGTGGCCCGTTAAGCGATCTGCTGGGTTGTGATCTTCATAGGGATGTCTATAGCTGTATAACTACTAAGATCACGCTGTCTTACCGCGACCTTAAAAAAATGTCGTCTTCATATCTGGGCCATGACAACATTCTCACCTTCCTCCACAGTAACAACGGTGGTCTAAACAGTGCCACCTGTGTTGACAGCGACATCCGACAGCAGCGGCGGCATGGTTGCAGTGGTCAACGTGGGCGTGGCACGATTCTGGAATATGCATAGTAGAAGTAACCCAGTGAATCAGAGAGACTTCATTAACTCGAAGTTGAACACACATAGAGTTACGCGTAGCACCGAGGGTGAGTGAGTGAGTGAGTGAGTGAGTGAGTGAGTGAGTGAGTGAGTTTAACGTTGTAACGGCATTATATCGGCCAAATAGCAATGCTGTAGTACCGAGAAAAAAAGAATCAAAGAGCCAATAACGATTCTACAGGGGTCAAATAGGGGAACGTTGTCTCAAACGATATATCGAGACAATGGATTCGAGTTAAGAGGTTTCGTCGTATTGTAAAAAAAGAGTATCTGTCCAGTAGTGTGCACAGCGCCTCACGTTGGCCGGTGAAGCAAGCAGAGACGAGGCAGGTGCACTCATCATTGACGCATGATAGCTGGTAGTTGGTGTCGCACTTCTCTCGGGAGCAGGTGCTGGCGTCACTGCCGCTGCACCGTTCGCTGCTGACGACCCCTGGGAAATTAAGACAAAATATGTATTTATGAAAAGGGATCTCATTTATTGATTAGTCCGAGGTGAAATGAGGTTTAACGTCGTGTTCAAAATTATTTACTTAGATAGCGACGTGCATGTGTGTGTTTGTGGTTTTTTTGTACCTCAAACCCCCCCCCCCAAAAAAAACCCAACAAAAATATTCCACTGTCGATCGATAGGAGAAGAGAAATAAATATTTACTTTGAACGCTTCGATTCTTAATTTCACCGTAATATCTTACTGTAAAGAAATTGCTTTAAAAATATGTTTCTTTGCAATATTACAATTTATTAATAATATAAAATATTTTCGAAATGTTTCGAAACTTTCGTGGATGATATCCGGGTTTCACTTAGATATACAGACTTGACGCTTATTTAATTGCAAATTCAAATTCGTTCGTGAATATAACAGGTTCTTCAATAAAATACACGTTTATCAAAGGACAGGTTACTTTCCTGTTTTGCAGTGTTTGTTATCTGTCGCATGAAGACCTTGATAAAGTCTACACGTCATCAACTTTCACACAGAGGTCACGTTGAGGTCAAGTATCGTGATTATAAAGAAAACCTTTCGTATACCACACACGTCGCCCTTTAGGCATAACACGTAATTGAAACACTTTACTGTGACAATTATATGCTTCGAACAGGAAAATCCCGATGTTCCAATGCAATGATATTCAACTGACTTAAACCTTATAGTATATAAACAGCAAATGGGATTTATTGAAACAAAGGATTTCTTTTTTCTGTGGAATACCTGTTTGGTGAGGGAATGATTGAGTGAGTTAGTTCTTTTTTCAATGTTCCAGTGATGGAGACACCAGATAGCTTTTTTTACCATATGGGGAATCGAACCTGAGCCTTTGGTGTGACGAGCAATCGCAAGATTACGAAATTTATTGTTCATATTGTTTTACTTTTTGGGGTGTAAGGTATTCAATGTGGATGAATTGTACTTAGTCATACTTCTAAAATCTTAAGTTACTTACCAAAAGCGAGGATAACAGACACACCGAGCACAAGGAACTTCATGGCTGTTGAGATAACTCCACTATGTCAGCTGACGTCACCGTGGCATGCCCCAGGCGACCCTGTCTTATCATACCAGATCAGATTGTGGTATTTAAAGAAATAGATAAAAAATATATTTTAAGTTTGCTCGTGTAAAGGGTATGTTGTGTATGGTATATCCTTTAAGGCCGTCAATCGTGTGTGATTCACATTAGTGAATAATCCTTGATTGAATCAGTCGTTGACACCTGAGCAGATGGACTATGCTATGACCTCATGTTTGAGGTCATATAACATGTTCACTGTAATGTATCACCGACGCACATCGTTGGGTCACCTTTTTCGTTTTTTTAAGAGTAGTATTAGCGTTCTTTCGGCACACGGAAAATCACGTTTCGATTCCAAAGATGGATGGACAAAACCAATGATTAATATTATGAACAACGTCCCAAGCCGCCAGGATACAGTGGCATCGTGACCACCCAATCCACATAGTAACCGCTTACGACACAGCATACGACACCATGGGATCGCCACCGTCCGTATCTGTATAAAGGCTAATACATTCATCAAAGTCATTTCACATCATCAGCCATTATTAACATATGATAAACATACATCCAGCCTCTGGTTTCTATTAATAATGTGACATCCTCAATCGTCTAGCAGAAAACGGAAAGTCGGTGGATCGGTCCCGACTGTGTCAAACCACAAAAATGGTACTTGTTGTTACCCTGCCTTGTGTGCATGCACGTCATTATGTAAGTGTGAAACTCCTGAAGGCATTATTAAATCCCATTTCACCTTACCCCACCCATTTATTCTGTATTATGCTCGTGGGTCTTTTGACATCTTTTTTGTCACTAAATCCCTTTGAAATGCTGAAAGTGAGTGAGTGAGTTGGGTTTAACGCCGCTTTGAACAGTATTCGTGTTACATCCCAGCCTAATGCGGAAGGAATGTCCAACAAACAGTTATTGTGTTAAAACTTTCGGCCTTCGGGTTTCCGCTCCTATGATGACTTTCTCAACAAAGCCAGAGGGGGATGTATTATCTGACTTATGATCCGAAAGAAAGATCTGAACAACACTTATCATCAATTTTATGTTTCCACTATCTATGAACCATTATAGGAAACGGACGTTAAATATCCCTTGCTGGCGTACATGAACCTGGAAAAGAGGTTCTTTAAAAGAATTGCGGTTTATCAGCGTCTCTGTAGCTTAATGGTTCACTCAATAGGCGACACGTACGACGTTTGCATGTTCGATCCCACTTAAATAGAAGTAAAATCATTCCGCACATTTACTCAAGTTAGCGCTGCAATGTGTGTTATGTAGATTGTGTTCAAATGCAAAATACATTGTATATTTCCAACGAGGTACATTCTGAAGAAACAACACAAAAGTATCAATGGCAAACCCATGTCCGATGGTCTTCAGGAGGGAAAACCTACAAAGTGTGTTAATTTGACATGTTGTGAAGAGACTTGACAACCAACAAGAGAATAAACCTGTCGTAGGGTTATAATGCAGGTTAAACCAGACGGGCTTGTAACTTTATAATGGGCAGCAAGATATAGAGCGGGTGGGGCAGTACTCGGACACTTAACGTTCCTAACGGCATGCAAATTGAACCAAAGTACCTATTGACTTTCTTTCATCGTATATGTGAAGGGAGGTAACTGCTGTGGTGATTATACTCGGTAGTGGTTGTGTTCGTGCGCTTGTTTCAGCAAATTCTTATGATATTTACTCGACGACTACTTCGGTAATCGGACGCCTGCGGTTGAAGTCGGACACCCTTGCGGCAGTACCCGGACACTTTAAGAATTTTTTTAAAATGTCTTAACCGAATATGACATAATTACAATTGTGTTTTTTTCATTGTGTCAATGAGAACATCAAAATAATAGCAACATAAATACAACTTCATTGGCTTATCTTCTCATTTTGGCATCACTGTACACAGATACATGTGTTTTTTTTATACTGACATTAGTTTTCTTCTCAGTCACTAAACCCAAACGCTGTCACCATCGAATCCTGTTTCATTCAGTCTTTCTATTATTTTGAATAAAGTACGACGTTGTGGCTTGATACGCAATAAATAAAAACAGTCTAGTTTTGGGCCCCCACCCCTAAAAGGCCCGCTGTGAGTAATTCTACCAGGAAAGAACGGTGTCACATTTAAAACGCAACCTTCCGTCATCAAAGGCGTGAGTACTCCTGACAACTGTAAGGGAACTCTGTCGACGACACGGCCAAGTATGTCCCGTTAAACCTGTCTATTGGGTGGGGGCCGGACTTCCAGATCTAAACTACGGAAATGTATGTCAGCTTCATCGGGAATACTACTTTTGAGAGCGTTTGCGTCATAGATGTTTTCTGGTTCGCGATTCATCTTCAGTGCCATAAATGGTAACGGCTTCACATGATACACATGGTACCTATGAAGAAAGAAAATATAATATGAGATGTGGCAACATTCGCTGAATAATCTTCCGTTGTTAATTAGGTGCAAAGTCTATCATTAACCTGGTACTTCATAGTTGTCATATATTTCCCAAAAACGTATACTCATAGAAATAAACCAGTACATCAAATGAATATAGTTTCATATTTAATATTACCCAGTTATTGACGAAAATATTGCGATGGGTTTCGTGCTATGGTGATAGCTGACAGCATTGGTGTTTATACCCCACCCAGGTGGTCCAGAGTATGCATGAATCTCGTGGAAAAGGGCGTCAAAGGGATATTCCATTTTTCTGTTAAAATATGAAAAATATGTTCATTTTTTGTACATTTTAATGTGAATGAACACTGAGTTCACTTCTTTAAAAAAAGCAAACTGTGCCAACAATAACATTCACATTGCAGGGAAACGGGTTTTTTTTCCTCTCAGCTACAAGTGTCACACGTGAAGGGAAGGTCGGCGAGTTGTTGATGTGTTAATGTCTGGTATCCCAGGCAATTCTTGTGGAACCATTTGGTACAATTAAGACATCCCACCCAGTCATCATTTGCCGCCAAATCCCGACCCAAACAAAGGTGACAAAAATCCCGGAGGGTATCATCGGAAAAATCGTCGTCGTCGTCGTATTCGTCGTCATCCATGGAGGGAATCTCGGATTCAGAGAGATCTTCGTCACTGTCTAGTGTTGCTTTTCGTTTCTCTTCAATTTGTTTTAAGAGTTTGTATGCCTTTTTCTCGTCTTCTTGCCTTCTCTTTTGCACACGCTTTTCTTCCCGTTCTTTTTCTCTTAGGGCTTTCCGGGCTGCTTTCTCTTCTTCTCGTTTAAGCTTTATTTCCTCTCTCATTCGCTTTCTGCTTTCTTTCATCTGTTTCTCTTCCTCTGCCTTTCTCTTCTTTTCAAGGAGAAGTTCCCTGATGTCTTCTCCTGAGGCAGATTTGGGCAACACTGTAGGTTTATACTTTTGGGTACGGCTCCGTACTTTAGGGAGAACTAAATATTTGTCAAATGCGTCACTGGAAGATGTGTGGGTTGTGGCTGATGTAGAATGTAAGGCTAGGTGTGAAGTGTCTGTTTGGGGTGTTGTGCTATGTGTAGTTTGTGATTTTACTGGTGCATGAGGGTCTGTATGGGGTGATGGCAGAGTTGTTTGTACGACTGGTGAGGATGCATATTCTGGTGATGTTAGTGTAGCGGAAGGTTGGGATAGGGTGTCTGCTGGGGGTGCAAATGTGAATGTTCTGACTGTGGATGGGGTTACAGGGGTTGACTGAAGGACTGGTTTCCATGGTTCAAAGATGGTGCTGGGTTTTAATTTCTGATTATCGGTAACTTTATCAGGATTGAGCGGAAACAGCCCTGATTCGAGGAAACCCCTCTCTGCATTTTCTGTTGTAGCTGCCCTTACCAAAGCAGTTTTAAATATACTGGCAAAGGTGTAACACATTCCTAACACATTCCCCGATGTTTGAAATCTGAAAATCTCGGACAGATTGGCGCCATGCATGTTTGAGTGGACTGAACAAGCTCAGGTCCAATGGCTGCATAACATGTGATGCGTGTGATGGGAGGCAGTACAGGACGATGTTGTTCTCCACACAAACAGTGCACGCTTCAAGGGTCAGGTGCGTTGAATGACCGTCTAGAAACAGAATTATTGGTTTCTTGATTGCCTGTTTATCGACATGAGGAATGAAACAAGTTTTAAGCCAAGAAACAAATAGTTCTGCGTCCATCCAGCCATTCTCGGTTCGCCCTAGAACCGCCTCCTGAAAACAATCTAGGGGGTTGTATTTGAACCTGCTACCGGGAAAGACGATCATGGGGGGAGTGTAGTCACCTGAAGCACTTGCACAAGCAAGAACTGTTATCTGGACCTTGTCTGAGGCCGACGAGTTATAAACTGTCTGGGGTCCTCGTTCGGCCACAACCCTACCACGCTTTGGACACATGGGGAAACCCGGCTCATCAGCATTATACAGCCTTGATGGGTCATGTAAGATGTCTGAATCAGTTTTGTCAGCGATGTTGGTTGTGAAGGTATCAAACCAATCAGCAATTTTTTTGTTGTGATACCATAGCAAGTTCTTTTGAAAGTTGTGTTGGTGTTCTTACTGATATTGTAGGGTTTCGTTTTAAGAAAGCCCTAAACCAATCCCCACCAGGTCCGTCATCAGTAAAAGGATTCTCCCTACCATCTAATTTGATTATTTTCTGGACCGTGTCTAACAGTTCGTCCCTTGTCCGGCCGTACCCTATACTCGACATGTGTATAGCCCAATCTGAAAGATGTCTTTCCTCGTCTTGTGATAAAATGGGTGAAGGACCTTTGCGGTAAACAAGAGGTACTTTATTGGAGAGTTTGTCATGAAGAGTACTTTTGGGTATACTGAAGCGACGGCAGCTTTGCGTGCAGACATCTGCTTGGCGTTAACAGCATCCATAGCCCGCTTTAAGTTTTCATATGAATAGGCAGGCTTTCCTCCTCGAACGCTCATTTTAGCAAATCTACACAGACGGTCCTACAATATAATTAGAACTAGTCAATGGAACTATCATATCCATATACTGAAGAATAACGAGAATGTTACTGATACGTAATACCTTCTGTTATCAGAT